ATTGTACTTTTCTACCATCCCACTTCTGACACCAATTTGTTACGTCTCCGTTTTGTTAATTGATTTTTCCGTAACTTCGTTCCAACGAAATTTTAACGACACAAGTCTTTACTTAATAAAACTGGTTTATTCTTTCCGAATATAACTTTACCGATACACTGAACTTCAACAATCGCGCTAAACAAACGAACGTCAATAATACTTCTGACTGCAGTTCAATTACTCACTGACTATCCAAACATTACATTCCCCTCTTTTATATACCAGCGTACCCTATTTCTAGTAAGAACTTGAACATTCGCCAAAGTACATGACAGTTCTAGAAACGTTGCGTCACGGTGGTCATGTGACTCGCTGACGCAACAATATATTATTGGGTTATCTGTATTTTGTAACTTGACTGCATATCCACATGAGCTATTTAATGCTTAAAACAGGCTTTTTGCAAAATGTCGTTCCCCATTTTTACATTGGATGAAAACTGTGGTTTGTTCAATTATTCTTTAAAAAAAAAAAGTCGTTATTTATTTGGTTCGACACCATTGGTAATAATGATCATGGAACAATATGAATATCACTTGTCCTTCTAAAGGAATTAAAGGACTCAACACCTACTTTGAGAAAACTGACCATACCATTACACCACCTCATGCACGCTTACACTGTTGGAACAATACATTTAGGGTAAAGTGCTTTGTGGTCTGGCCTATTATTTAAACTATTTTCAATACATAAAAACAAGGATTATGACTTAGATTAATCATACTTTCAGTCATTCATTACATATATTTTATACTCTAAACACAACTAAGCCATGCTTTCAAGTTTGCATCCAAGACATTTTCAGACTGGTTGTTAGTTATCAGATGAGAGCTTTTTATAATGTTCTTTCTGTGGTATGGTTGAAGACAATCAGTTTCTGACCACAGTTGGAGAAAATGGTCAACTGGGATATTGTACAATCTTTACTTTCTGTATGTCACCAGCAGTTTGAGGCCAGCTTTTTAAGAGAAGCAGATGCATGTTCTATCCACTGTCGACTTTGACAGACTAATTACTAATGTCTTTGAATAGTCAGTGAAATAAAAGGTCTATGATAACAATGAGTTTACTGGAAAACCACTCACTAAAATATTCAATTGGAACTTAGATAAATGTTTGTCCTTAACCAATTGACCATAATATGACTATATCTTTGCTGATGTAACCTGCACAAGCCATATGATCAGTAAGTTTTGTATATGTCACTAAATCAAGTGTTGTACAATACTAAATAGGGTCAGTAATATTCCTAGTAGTGTATGTTTGATTATGATTGGTAACCACCATTTCAAGATCTTAGACATTTATAGCTATAGCGATACCAAAGAAACACATTTTAAACGCAATAAGTAACTAACTTTGGTATACATACGGTAAGAGAAAGAATTGGGGCAAGAAGGCTTCCCTCATCATATCGGGACAGCTTACTTAGTGTTGCTTCCAAGATGCTCGTCAACTGAAAACAATAATTAAAGTTTTAATGTACACGAGTTATCTTGTCAACACAGTGCCATAAGTCTCAACAGTGAATACACTATGAAGTAGCAACATTTCACATCAAAATGAGTAATTCTAAGACACAAATGGTGTAGTTAGGTCCCAAGCATTAACTGAGTATCTCATTACCATGTTCTCATCAAGGCTTGACAAAGATATGTTACATTATGTTTTTGTTTTCATTATAACTATCACTTAAGATGATTAGCACATTTGCATCAGTTACCCAAATACATATTTAAATAAGCCACTATTTGAAAACCAAAGGTTATAGGTTTCAAAATCCTAAGTGAAAGAAAATTGGTAGCATCATATTTCTATTTTTTTGAACAGCCTTAAAAGTATATGTAAATTTCTAACACACTTGTTGTAAGGTGATATAAATTTAACCTCCAAGGAAGATCATGACATTTAGCCTAAATACATATTAGGAGTCAAAAGCTCAGAGTTGACAAGGAAATCAAACTGTTTGACAGTGCACTGAAAATTTGAATGTCTTAAAATCTCAGCTTTTCACATTATTCAAATTGCATTAATCACCTGAAATAAGCTGTTACAAAAGCCATGATTATATATATAATTTGTTTATAGAGTTGTACTAATTTACCAAGTTGGTTGGTGTTAAATCCTAGTCAGTTGAAATGGTACTACAACTCAATAAGATTTAAAGTCATTTACAATCTACAAAATTAGTCACACAGTTTTAACTCTGCCTAAAATGTACAAACTCGGTATCAATTTGTTTCAACTTCAGTTAAAACGTACAAACTAAATCCTGATCAGTTTTAACTCCACCTATAATCTACTAACTCAATCCCAATAAATTTTAACCCCATCTGTAATCTACAAACTCAATCACAATCAACTTTAACTATACTAATAATCTTCAAACTAGATAAGACTATTTTCTTACCTTGCCTATCAATCCTGTATGCATTTCATTCAGAGTCTTATCAACAAGTTGATCAATCTTGGCATGATACTGGTGCTAAAATTCAACAAGTGTGAACATCAAGTACTAATAAGTTACTAAAAAAATGTAATCTGATGTACAATTAATTCCTTTATATAATTAAATGTTTATCTGCATGCACAGTTTTCTTACCAATGGCTGAATATAAGTAACAAAACATTTTATTGACAAGGCATATTTAAAAATTCATTCCAAAAACTAAATAATTTCGAAATATTTATAGGATAACTTTACTAGTTACTAGAAATTAAAAATGTACAAAAATAAATAGACCATTAATCAAGAACAAATAACACAAGTAAAACATTACAAAAATTATATGTTCAAATCTTCTTTTTTCAAATACTATTTTTGTTTTTACTTACCATGTCTACTCCCTCTACAGTGCACAATTTCAATGACTAGAGAAGAAAAAGCACAAAATATTTATATTGCACACACAATATAGTCAACATTTTCACTACAGCATCATCTCTACAATATGTTATCTGGATACATTTATTTTTGAAGTATATATAGATTGTGGTGTGTATGTAACATATAATAACATGTATATGATGTTTATATAAACAGTGGTGCACGTTAGTGTCGACGCATGTGCATGTATTGTAATGTACAGTTAAGAAGTCTTAAACTTATTTCTGTTTGAAATACAGCACACAGAAAAATCAAAGGCAAAACAGTTTTCATTATTATGGAACGGTTGCAAAATAAAGTCATTTCTCCTCCTTAAGTATATGATAATCAATCAAGATGCAAATGATTGGTCATTCACTCTGTGGTCTCACACAATGTTGTCTCAGTTGTCATTTTGAAGTGAATTGCATCATTAAAAAAATGATCCATAGTGTTCTTGAATCATGGCTAGACCTCAAAAAAGATGATTTCACTACTGTGGAAAGCCACTGAAAAAATGGAAGCTAAACAATCACAGTAAGCTGTAAGTTGGTCAAGTGTCTTAAAGCATTATTGGCAGAATGAGAAACTGCTTCCAAACCAATGGTATAGTTTCTTGAACAAACTGGCAAGGCAAACCATCATTCAAAACACAAGAAGATTACTTCTATTGGTCAATCCTGGCTTGTTACAATCAATGTCACAGATGCAACTGATTGCCGTGATAATGTACAGTTGGTTAGGAACAGATATTATAAAGTTAGAGTATACGTCACACATCCAGTGACATGCATTCATAGCAAGTTTCGAAAGAATATCAAGAACATGACCAACAAAATGAGGAGTAATAGTTTTTACAGATGAGTGGTTCTTGATGCTGCTTCCAGATAACTCATTTCAAGTGAATCTGTAACTGGACCCGATCCCATTTTCACATACAAATATGGGGATGATAGAAATAGACAGGGAAAAAAAAGTGATTGAGATATCCATTTCTACACCCTGCAGAAAATGGTAACATTGATACAATATATATTGCAGGGACTACATCCAACATCCCTTTGTGCTGCTCTATTCTGGTGCAATATCAATTGCAATTTCAGCTAAATGGAAATAATATCCATTCTCACTGTGCTAAGCTGGATGACATATTCCTAGAAGAAAAGTGGATTAACTAAATGGAGTGGCCTTCACACTCACCAGACTTCAATTGAACTTGTATGGTTACCCAGATGCAACACATCCTGTCACATGACTACAGACACTAAAGATCTTATCATTTTGATTTAAAGCACTCAAAACTACTGCCAAGCTGCTTTTGTTATTCATGACGACCATACTCAATATTGAAATAAAAAGTCATGAACTACAATGTTGGAAAGCAACCTCCATCAAATGTTCATTTATAAGAGTGGGCTGAATTACCAAT